GAGTTTTGTTTCACATTGTTCTCCCACTCTATTCAGGATCTCCCATTTAAATCCCCCTCTGAGTGGTTAACGGTGTTAGCAGGGCACCATCTAGTTCTTCTGGTCTCATAGTCATACAGGTTGAGAATCACATGGTGTACCAGTTGCTTGGACTAATTGTTTCCATGGTCTTTAGTTTTCTTCATTCTTCTCTGCTCTGGACAAGGAGAGACCCATTGTTGCATCTAGATAGCCACTTGCAAGCTTTTAAGATCCCAGTAGATCCTTGCCCAAGTAGGATGTGGAACAATGTCTTTGTGTAGTGTTATGCCAATTGAGCTTGATGTCTCCTTTTGGGACATTCTTATGTTTGACAATGACACCTTAAACAATATCACTTAAAGGAATCATACTGGCTCAGCAGCTAGAAAACCAATTCCTGGTTAACCTAATCCTGTTTATTCAGCAATTCTAATAAGACATGATGAAATCTTTTCAAGGGTTGCTGAGATCCAGAAACAGGAAGCTTCCAAGTTGCTTGGGTTGTACTCTTTACTCTGTCCATAGCAGTCATCTACTTACTTATATTAATGAGAGTTTCCACCTTATTAAAGGAGCCCTGGTGGCGCAGCAGTTAAGTGCTTGGCTGCTAACCAGAAGGTTGATAGTATGAGTTCACCAGATGCTCTGCAGGAAAAAGATGTGGCAGTCTGCTTCTGTGAAGATTTATAGCCCTGGAAACCCTATGGGCAATTCTACTCTGTCCAATAGGGTCACTATGAGTTGGAATTGACTCAGCGGCAATGGGTGTGTTCTTGGGTTCCTCCTTATCATTTAACTCTGTCAGCCCTGGGAACACCTTTGCCAAGACAAGGCTTTTATATACTATAATGCTTGCAGCATTGGGTAAGCAACCAAGAGAAATCAAACTCCAAGAATATGCAATGTACTCACAATTTCATTAGGATAATGGAATGTTAAGCTGAGGGCTCCAAGATCCATATAAGGTGAACAGGAAGAAAAATCACTTTAAGACGAAAGCTATTAGATAAGATCTGAAAATTTTGCAAACTCGAAGTTAAGAGCATGTCTTATGATATAAATAAAAATACAATTTATATACAATAAAATATACAGGTCTTCAATGTTCAGTTGGGTAAGTTTTGACAATTGTATACACCTATGTAATCTCTACCCAAAACAATACATAGAACATTTCCATAACCCCAGAAAATTTCTTCAGATCCCTTTCTTAAGAAATTACCTCCATGAAACAGGCAACCCCTTTCTGACTTGAAGCACCATAAATTAATTTTGTTTTTGAACTTCATATAAATGGAATCATAGAGTACTTTTGTGTCTTTCTTCTTTTGCTTCACATAATCATTTTGAGATTCATCTGTGGTGTTGAGTGTATCAATAGTTTGCCCTGTTTTTCTTTTTTGAGTAGTACTCCTTGTATGAATATATCACTATTTGTTATTCCATGCTGATAGACATTTGGGCTGGTTCCAGTTTTTACCTATATGTGAATAAATATCCTACAAACATGTGTGTGTCTTTTTTAAAATTTTTATTGTGATTTGGGTAAAAGTTTACAGAGAAAGTTCACTTTCCATACAGCAGCTCACATACACTTTGTCTCATGACATTGACTGCAATTTCTCACAATGCAACAGCTCCCCTTCCACTTCCTCTCCATAGTTACCTCTTCCCTGTGTCCTTCCCTCCTGCCCCCTGAGCTGTCTCCCTGTGCATACATAACCCTTCTATTCTCTCATGATTGATCTCTTCAAGGAGTGTATCTACCTACTGTCAATGTTCAGCACACATGCCTGCCTTTTGTTTGGCTGGAAGCCACAGGAGTGGGTTCCATTCCAGACCTGAAGGGTAGCTAGAGGCTATAGTCTCAGGACTTCCATCAGGCTCTATCAGACCAGCAAACCTGGTCCCCCCACCCCTTTTTTTTTTTAATGATTTTGAGTTTTGTTCCACATTGTTCTCCCACTCTGTCCAGGATCTCCTACATAGATCCCCCTTTGAGTGGTTGATGGTGGTAGCTGGGCACCATCTAGTTCTTCTGGTCTCATAGTCATATAGCCTGAGAATCGCATGGTGTACCAGTTGCTTGGACTAATTGTTTCCATTAGTCTTTGTTTTTTGTTTTTTTTTTTAATTCTTTTTTTGCTCTGGATGAGGAGAGACCCATAGTTGCATCTAGATGGCCACTTGCAAGCTTTTAAGATTCTAGTTACTACTCACCAAAGTAGGATGTAGAACAATGATTTTGTATAGTATGTTATGCCAATTGAGCTTGATGTCCCCTGCGTGTGTGTTAGTCTTTTTTGAGAATATATATTTTCATTTTTCCAAGAGTAGAATTGCCTGGTTAGGTGATAAGCATACTTTAATTGTACAAGAAACTACCAGTTTTCCAAAGTGTTTTATCATTTTACACTCCTACCTGTAATTTCTAACAGTTTTAACTGCTGTACATCTTTGCCACCACTTACTATTGTCAATATATTTTATACTAGCAACTCTGTTGTTGTTGAGAGGTGCCACTGAGTCAGTTCTGACTCATAGTGACCCTATGTACAATAGAATGAAACAATGCCCAATCCTGTGCCATCCTCATGATTGTTGTCATGCTTGAACCCATTGTTGCAGCCACTGTGTCAGTCCATCTCACTGAGGGTCTTCCTTTTTTAGCTGACCCTCTATCTTAGCCACCATGATATCCTTCTTCAGAGACCAGTCCCTTCTGACAACACCATCCAAGTATGAGACACAAAGTCTGGCCAATCTCAGTTCTAAGGAACATTCTGGCTACACCTTTTCCAAGACAGATTTGTTCATTCTTCTAGCAGTTCATGGTACATTCAATATTCTTTGTCAGCAACATAATTCAAAGGCATAAATTCTTCCATGGTCTTTATTCATTGTCCAGCTATTGAAAATACTATGGCTTGGGTCAAGAGCATCTTACTCTTCAAAGTGACATTTTTGCTCCCAAACACCTTAACGAGGTCTTTTGCATCAGATTTGCCCAACGTATCATTTGATTTCTTGACGGGAGCTTCCATAGGCATTGATTGTGGATCCAAGTAAAATGAAATCCTTGACAATTTCAATAGGTAGTTTCTCCATTTATCATGATGTTGTTTATTGGTGCAGTTGTAAGGATTTTTGTTTTCTTTCTGTTGAGGTATAATCCATTGAAGGCTGTCGTCTTTGATCTTCATCAGTTAGTGCTTCAAATACTCTTCACTTTTAGCAAGCAAGGCTGTGTCAAGGATTCCATTTTTTCTCTGCCCATGGGCCATATTTGTGTAGGGTGTATGCTAAATTTAATCACTTCTGAGTTATAAGGAGCAGCATAGACAAAAAAACATGCAAACACAAATGGAGGAAGATAAACACCATGTGAAGTGAGAACTGAATGGAGGAATGCCTAGAGTGAAGAAGGAACTGAGGATTGTGTTGGCTAAAGAAGCTGAGACAAGCTCCCCATCCCACTCCACCCCCACCTGCCCAGAGCTTACAATGAGAGAGAGAGAGAGCATACCATTATAGTTGGGGCCCTGGATTCAGATTTCTAGCCTCTTAAACTGTGAGAAAATAAATTTCTGTTCTTTAAAGCAACCCACTTGTGGTGTGTTGGCTATAGTAGCACTAGGAAAACTAAGACAATACATAAGAAAAAAAAATTGGAAATAATACCAATATGTCAAAAACGTTTAACATTTGATGAGTGTATAGGTGACTTTTATTTTCTTCCTTTTGCTTACTTGTATTTCTTGTAACAAACATATATTAACTTTTTTAATAAGAAAAATTATTGAAAAAAATTTAAAATCTGATCAATGGGCATAACATTTCTTAGATACAAAAGATTTAGGGCTGTAGAATGTCTCTTTTTACCCCCAAACTCAAACATAACCACCTGGGACGACTGGGTACATATTTTCCCTCCTTTCAGTCACTTAGGTCCACAGCTGCCTTGCCCTAGCTGTCCAAACTTCTCTACTCAGTAGGTGAGGCAGTATGAGTTCTACCTCTGACATACCATGTAACTTTTGGCAAGATCCTGCCCTAACCTGGGCTCCAGTTCTCTCATCTCTAAATCCAAGAGTTAGAATCAACGATCTTCAAGGTCTTTTTGGGATGTGGAGGAAAGAACATATACTAAGAATCAGAAAACTCTGGTGTGGATTTGAGTACGTGGGCATCACAGGAAAACAATCCACTCTCCCGTGTCTTCAGCCAGATAATAATCACCTCTGAGATAAGCCCTGGCTTGTTTCTCATTCTGGTCTTTGTGTGGAGCTATGCATAGAGTAGGAGGAACTCAGTGAATTAGCTTTTTGCCTCCACCTCCTAAAAAACAACACAACAATAAATATTTTGGCTTTATCACTAGACACTGATAATGACGATCTGAAGCACAAGGTTGGCTTTAACTATTGGAACACACACTATGCATCTTTTTCTGAGGTAAATGGTATAGTGCTTGTTTTTACAATTCACCAAGCAGAGCGAGCTCTGGGTGCCTTTCCTATGGCTGACATACCAGTGGCTGAGGAGAGAGTAACGTTCAAGGCCCCTCCAACTGAGGTCTTGGTCGGAGTGGCCAATCTCTGCGCTGTGCATAGCATGCTCAAGGAATCTCATTCCCAGCAGGTGCACAGGCTGCTACCATTCGGCTTCCCTAAAGGGAACAAGAGAGCCGCAGCTTCTGAAGTGTTAGCTTCAGAAGTGTTAGCTCTGTCGCTAAGGAGTTATGTGACCTTGGACAAGTCTCTTCCTCCTTTAGGAATGTTGCAACGGGCTAAGTGGCTTCGCCAGGGACTGCTATGGAAACGATCAAGCGATCTGGAAAATATGTGACTTTAAACGTTTACTGAACTTCGATGACACGCGGGGAGGAGCAGGAGTGAACTGGAAACAAGGGACTCAGGGGTCGCCGCGCGAGAGTAACCAAGACCCGCACCTCAACTATCGCGAGATCTTCTCCCGGCGCTTCGCGGCGTCATCTTCTCGACGGCCTTGGCGGCGTTGGCGACGGCGCGTAGACTCTTTACAGGGGCGACCCGTATCCCTCCGCCGCCGGCGCGGCCCGGCCTTCCGTCCCATGGTCCGCCAATCCCCGTGCCTCCCGACCTGCCCTTCGGCCTGTGCCCACCCCACGCTCTGGCGGCCCCACCCCAGCGGCGCCGCCCGCCCGCACGCGCGTCCCTCGGTCCACCTGCAGCAGGCAGGAAGGCAGGCAGTCTCTGGTTGTCAGCTCGAGAGGCGCCTGCCAAGCCCAAGGCTTGGGTTCTTGCTCCCTGGCGGAGGGATCCGTGGAGGCTAAGGAGGCGGCGCTGAACCTAGAAGGAAGAGGCAGCTGCGGCGGCGGCTCGAGCGGCAGCGCATAAAGGGGCCGCCGCCGGGTGATGCGGTGACCGCTGCGGCAGGCTCAGGAGCCGAGTGGGCCTCGGCCCTCAGCCGGTCCCGCCGGGCCCGCACACCCTAACTCTCCACCTTCTCCGGCCGACCCGCTATCGCCGAGGCGGCCTCGCATCCCCTCGCCCCTTCCCCGTCCCCGTCCCCGCCCCCGTCCCCGCCCCGGGGGCCAGCGCCACCCACCTCCCACGATGGCTCTGAAGAGAATCCACAAGGTAAGCGATCGGACGTCGGCTGCGGGGACGGTCGCTTGGCGGGCCGGCTAAATTGGCTGCGGCATGCACTTTCCGGAGTCGTTTCAGCCGGGCTGGTGGCCTCTTTAGCTCTGGTTGCCAGCGATGGCCCCGGCGGGCGGCCTTCATACCCCACTCCCAGTGATGGCGCCCGAGGAGGCCCCGGCGCGCAGCCCGCGCTTAGGCCGGAGGTCCGTTCTCCTAGCCTTCCCATCCTGCCGCCTTTGCATGCCCCACCTGGTATGGACCCGCCAGAGCCTCTCCAGCCCGGGCCTGCTGGGCTCGAGGGCCATTGTCCGGCCAGTCCGAGGTAGGGGGCTAGGTCGTGGGGCGGTCTTTAAGACCGAAGTCGAAAGGGCTACTCGCACCATCTCTGCCTCCGATACCTGCCCTAGCTCCCTTCCCAGAACCGCCTGAGCTCGGGGCCCGTATCTGGAGGAGAGAGAGGAAGCAGTGTTGCCCCGACCACCAAGTATTCAGTTCACTACCTCTTGGGCGGCTTTAGACTTTAGTCCACCTTGCTCGCCGAGAAACTTAAGAGTAGGAAGTTCAGAAGGAGAGAAAATGTGACTCTTAGGGAGGCAGAGTAGCGGGAAAAGCTTTGTATTCACTGAGGTAGCTATAGTCAAAAGCTGTCACTTAAATTTTTCAAGAATGGAACTAATAGGAAAAACCTGCTAAATTGACAAGAGGTAGAAACCTGGGCATTGAAAACTACTGGAGAAATTACACAAAGGTTCCTTTCACACAGTCCCCTCACAAGATGGGCTTTAATGCTTAAATTAGATAATGTTTGGAGAGAACGTTTTAATTTAGAAGGGATTTTGCTAGGCTTTCTATTGGAAAAAATTTCTTTGCTTTTTAAAACTGAAGGTTTTCAGTTATTGATAAAGTTTTCCCAATACTACCATCTACAGTATGGATTCGGTTAAAATTCAGTTTTTTCTTTTCCTCTAGTATTGTAACCTTTTAGCGCCACACACTACCTTTTTTTTTTTTTTTGCCCTCGTTGAAGTGGGGAAGCACTCCTGGTGATTTTTTTTTTTTTTTTGGTGATCCACTTGACTACTTAGGCAGTATCAAACCTTTGATTGCTTAGTAAGAAATAGGTACTAGGATAATCCATCTTTAGTCAATGGAATGTGGATGCAAGAGGAAGAGAACCAATTTTCCTCTCACCTTAAATTGTCAAGATGTAGATTGTTGGGTGTTTTAAACATCCTAGCTCAGCAGCTGGTCTTTATGTAATTCTTAAAGACCTTGAATGTGAAGTGGAATTAATTCCAATCATTATTGTAAATTAAGTTAGATCTTTAGTAAGTTCTTTTGACTTCCCTAACACATAAAAAAGGGCAGACTTTAGGCAGTAAATCTTATACTAAAATGAGGCAGGTATTTTGTTAAAGAAACTTGAACCTTAAGCAGAGATCTCCGAAAGCATCATTTAAAGGACAAGAGCACACTGAGGAGTGACTGTTGAAGTAAAATATGTATGTATGTTTAAGGCTTTGAGGAGTTACTAGTTTCTTTCACAGTCTAATTGGGAAGTTGCCAACTGGAGATGCCACTTGGTATATATACTTGTAGAAGATTATGCTCTTAAAATCTGAAGAGGGGAAAGTGAATATAATGTGTGATAGTTTATAGATCAAGAATTCTAGCCTTTAATCTCTACAGTGATTGATATACGTGTTATAGAGACTTCTTCAGAGAGGGAAATAGCACTTTGACTCAAAACATAATTTTAATCTAATAAAACTTGTCATCAGTGGTATGGTTTCTTACTAATTATTTTGTACTTTCTAGAACAGATTTTCTCTAAAACATACTCTTATAAAAATTTTAATGAGGAAAGTGAAGGTTAGATAATAACTTGAACTTTGAAAATGCAGTATTAATTTTTTTTTCTCCTAGTTTATAATCTAGAGCCTTCCTCAAAGTATGACTTGATTTCTAAGACTGCCAGTGAGTGAAAAAATGACATTTATTTTATGGTGTACCAGTCAGAAATATTGTGAATACAAAATGGAGATTATTTTTTAAAAAACTTTTTTGTATGGGACGAATTTTAAATTGAATGGCAGACTTACTAGGTGTGGATAAGATCAGCCCTGTCTTATCCTCAGCCCTAGTAATTGATCTACGGTGGAATACCCAAATGTCTTTCTTGGCTTATATCATTGGTCTTGAACCTTCCTAATTATCATCTGCTAAATAAATATTGGGAGCTCTGGTAGCATAGTGGCTAAGACACTTGCCTGCTAACCAGACGGCTGGCGGTTCAAACCCACCAGCCACTCCTCGGAAGGAAGGTTGGGCAATCCTACTTCCCTAGTGATACTGCCTCGGAAACCCAAGGAGGGGTCACTATGAGTCAGGTATGACTCGACGGCACATAACAAATAAATATTTCTACATAAATACCATCTTTAGATAATTGCGAACTGCTGCATCTGTGTTCTAATAAAATTGTAGGAATTCAGTATCATTTCTTTGACAGAGGGAAATTGTGTTGTATTTGGCAATTCTTCAAATGCTATTTCTTTTTTCGAAAAAGCTTTTGGTGGACTTTATTTTGAAATGCTTTATAAATTTCCCTGACTTATGCTTTAAACAGTGTACCAGAGAGGGTCATTATGAATATTCCATATAGTTTGGGCAGGACTAAGGGATATCCTCTGGAATTATTTGTAGCAAATGGCCCAGCCTGGTTTGCTTTGAGGTTTTCTGCTACACTTAATAGGTCTTAAACTTTGGTTTGATATTTTGAGTGCCTTCTTCTAATAGCACCAACCCAGCCCTTTTCCAGTGTTGTGGGGCGGGAAAACAAATATCCAAGCTTACTGAAATGTTTAACATAATAAGATCTAGTGTGCTCTGAGTGAAGAGGCTTCAAGTGTTCTGTGACCTGTGTTGCTAATCAGAGACCTTGTTTGAGTTCTTCCTGTTTTACTTTTCTTTTTTTTGTACAGGTGCAGGAGGCTCTTGGGTACTCTTAATATTGAGATAATAGTGTTCATTTGTCTCTTCTTGGCAAGAGTAAAAGACTGAATATCTTGAGTCTTTGAGGAATTGAAGACAAACCAAAGGTTTTTGTTTTGTTTTGTTTTTTAAGAAAAAAAAAAAAAAAGCCAAACCCACTGCCATTTAGTCAATTCTGACTCATAGCGACCCTGTAGGACAGAGTAGAACTGCCCCATATGGCTTCCAAGGCTGTAATTCTTTATAGAAGCAGAATGCCTCATCTTTCTCCCGCAGAGTGCCTGGTAGGTTCTAACCGCCAACCTTTTGGTTAGCAGCCAAATGCTTTAACCACTGGGCCACCAGAGTGCCTAAGTTAGGATACTGAAAGTTTCTTAAAGTAATAGTGCCTTGTACATTTCAGTGGAGTCTTTCTAGTTTTGTTAACATCTGGTATATATAACTTTGAAACAAAATAATACTTGAAAACAAAGACCATTTTTTTGATCTGTCCTGTTTCTATGATAAAGATTTTTATGATTATCTTCTTTCAAGGCCCCACAAGAGATTTTTAAAAAATAAAGTTTCCACTAAAATAAAGATTCAAATTCTGATTTGACAAAGACCAGACAGGAAACCACAATAAACAGAATTGAGAGGAACTAGAAAATGCATGGGAGCCCTGGTAGTGTAGTGCTTAAGACACTTGACTGCTAACCAGAAGGTTGATGGTTCAAAACCACGAGCTACTCCTTGGAAGGAAGATTGGGCAATCTACTTCTGTAGTGATACTGCCTTGGAAACCCAAGGAGGGATTGCTATGAGTTGGGTCCAACTTGATGGCACATAACAACAGCAACAGAAAATGCATGTCCCATCAGATAAAGGTAGCTGCAGCCCAACCAAAAAACCAAACCCCATTGCCGGTGAGTTGATTGCTCCTATGGGATAGGGTAGAACTACCTAAAAGGGTTTAAACACTGCAAATCTTTTTGGAAGCAGACTGCCTGCCACATCTTTCTCTCATGGAACAGCTAGCTGGTGGGTTCAAACCACCAAATTTTTGGTTAGCATCTGAGCACTTAACCATTATACTAGCAAGGCTACTAGTTGCCAGCTCCCTCTAAATATGGAGAAGAGAGTATCTATGGGCTTAGTGTTGTCAGATTTTTTTTTTCCTCTCTCTCTTTTTTAAATGGAAGCTATAAATTCAGATTTTTGGCAACTAGTTAGAATTTTAAAAAGCAAACTTTTTTTGGTAGTTTGGTACCAATTTAATATGTGAATTAAAAATAAAAAGATTTGAGGTTCAGGAATATAAAGATTAAATCAAACTGTCTTTTTAAAAGTTCAAAATTATTACTTTCTGTAGGTCCCTGAGGAGCTCTGGGAGAGCAGTGTTTAAGGCATTCGGCTACTAACCAAAAGATTGGTGATTCAAACCCACCAGCCGCTCCGCAGGAGAAAGATGAAGTAGTCTGTATCCATAAAGATTTACAGCCTTAGAAACCCAGTGGATCAGTTCTACTCTGTCCTGTAGGATCACTATGAGTCAGAATCGACTCGATGGCGATAGATTTGGTTTTTGTTGGTTTGATTGGTTCCTGAGTGCTGCAAATGTTTTACACTTGACTACTAAACCAAAGGTTGACGGTTTGAACCCACCCAGCAGCACCATGGAAGAAAGGCTTGGCGATCTGCTTCTGTAAAGATTACATCCAAGAAAACTCTATGAAGCTGTTCTTCTGTAACATACAGGGTCACCATGAGTCAGAATTGACTCACTTGGCAATGGGTTTGGTTTTTATATAGATGGGCAAGATTAACTAGTTTTTGGAGATTAGAATTTAAAAATGCTAATTATTTTTCTTGCTAGGGTTTTATATGGTTATATATAAGGTCATAGAGAAAGCCAGTTTAATAAATACATTGACCCTATAGTAGAAATTTTCATCTTACTCTTAACTTCACAGTCTGTTTCATGTTAAGAATCATCTTTCTGTAAACTATACACCTTCCAT